GTTCTCATGTGTTAAATAAGAGCGCAGCGCCGCTCGACTGCTGCTCATTACTTAACTTAGAAAGCGTCTCATTTACTGTAGATTTACACAGAAAAAGAAATGGCAGAAACCGCCCCAGCTGCTGCTGCCCCGCTGGCCAAAGCACCCAAGAAGAAGTCTGCAGCTAAAGCCAAGAAAGCAGGTCCAGGCGTCGGTGATCTGATCGTTAAAGCCGTGTCTGCGTCCAAGGAGAGGAGCGGCGTGTCTCTCGCAGCCCTGAAGAAAGCTCTCGCTGCCGGCGGCTACGACGTGGAGAAGAAGAACTCCCGCATCAAGCTCGCCATCAAGAGCCTGGTGACTAAAGGCACCCTGCTGCAGGTCAAAGGGACCGGCGCCTCCGGCTCCTTCAAGATCAGCAAGAAACCAGCCGAGACCAAGAAGAAAGCTGCTTCTAAAGCCAAGAAGCCCGCGGCCAAGAAAGCGAAGAAAGCGGCTCCTAAAGCGAGGAAGCCCGCGGCTAAGAAACCTGCTGCTACCAAGAAGCCCAAGAGCGCAGCGGCAAAGAAGCCCGCCGCTAAGAAATCGCCCAAGAAGGCCAAGAAACCCGCAGCCGCCGCTAAGAAAACGACGAAGAGCCCCAAGAAAGCAACGAAGCCCGCGGCGCCCAAGAAAGCAGCCAAGAGCCCCAAAAAGGCAGCCAAGAGCCCCAAAAAGGCCAAGACTGCCAAACCCAAGGCAGCAAAGCCTAAAGCTGCCAAGCCTAAAAGGGCAGCTCCCAAGAAGAAGTAAAACTACTGTTTTATTCCCCAACGGCTCTTTTAAGAGCCACCCACTAACTCTAAAGAAAGAGCAATTTACTTTGTGGAAGTAAGGTTAGGTTAAGAAACAACTAATTTGTACCACCGTTGTACTTTAAAAACAACACAATAAATAAAACAACAGATAACTTCACAATCCATCAGCAACTCATTCAGCAGCGTTGTAAACTGCAGGCAACACAATTATTTCATATACACATTACACACAGCAGTAGGGATAAAATACCTTATAAATCGTTCTGTAGAACACAGGCTTTACTAATCTCCCACGAAATGAACACTGAAGTAGTAAAAATACCATCTAGTGGTCCTTCAAAGTACAAAATCAGTTTAAATTTTTCCCTTGTTCTTTTCCACAAAAACCTCAAGAGAATCTGTAGTAAAAGCAATAATTGATTCGGCCTTTCTGATCAGTTTATTAATCCCTATTTGTATCATCCACAGTGATATTAGCTCCCCAGCAGAGCACTGCATAGAACTGAAAACTGGTCAGAATTCCCTGATAGAAGACATAAGAAGCTTTCTACTAATACCAATGCAATTTAACTTCCTCAAAAATAATCATCTTGACTCTGTCTTCTTCAAGATAAACTCACTGTTCGTTTTCCACTTTAATTTACTGTCAAAACGGATGCCAGTATATTTGTAAGACTGAACTATTTCTGTCTTCTGACCATGGATTGTCACCGCTATTACTGCTTCCTTGTCTTCTGAAATCAATGATCAACTCATTAGTCTTCTCCAAATCAAATAAAAAAATAAATAAAATAAAAAAAATCACACCATGTAACAAAAAGCTGAACCTCTCTTCTATTGTCCAAATAATTATTTTGTTTGATTAGAGCCACAAGTTCAGTGTCATCAGAAAATTGTGTAGACAGCAGGATGA